TCAAAAATTAAAACTTTATTTAGTGTCTCAAATCCTTGGACATTAACTATGTTTCCATTTACAGTGCCTGAGCTCACCCAGCACTCAAGACAACTTCAGCTTTCAGAAAAGGTAACAGTTGGGCTAGCCAGTTAGCTCAGCTGGTTAGAGCATGGTGCTGACAATACCAAGGTCCAGGGTTTGATTTCTGTACAGGCCAGCCACCAAAGAGTAAAAAAGGTCACAGCTAACTGCCGTAAGAGATATTCTGAAAGTTAACCCGGAAAAGATTTAAAACTAAGAATTTTGGGCCGGCCTGTGGCTCACTCGGGAGAGTGTGGTGCTGATAACACCAAGGCCACGGGTTCGAATCCCATATAGGGATGGCCGGTTGCTCACTGGGTGAGCGTGGTGTTGACAACACCAAGTCAAGGGTTAAGATCCCCTTACCGGTCATCTTTAAAAAAAAAAAAAAAACTAAGAATTTTTTAACTGACTAAGACTCATCACACAACTGTTAGAAAAAAATGAAAAAAAAAAACACGTTACTTTTATAATTTTTAAAGTTATTTAGTTTTTTGAAATAGCCTATCCAAATCCCTTAAAATAGGGATTCTTAACCCATTAGTTAACCCTCTGACAATGTACACAAATTAGCTTATGTTATGTGTGCCCATTTTTTCTGAAAAAAATTCAACAGTTTCTCAAAAGAATCCATATCCTAAAATGGCTCAGAATCACTTTCTTCAAGGAATTATTTCAACTATATATTAAGAATTACAGAGTCATAAAATAGAGTATGCTATAATTAAAATGAAACTGCCGGACACACATAGGTTAAGCATGGTGGGTTCTTTTTTTTTGGGGGGGGGGGTGAAGGCAGGCAGAAAATAGATTCATTTATTCTATAACAAAAAATGCATATTCCTTTATTTTAAAAAGAATATTATCTATTGAAGAGATTCTTTAATATAAGTCAGTGTTAAATCTAAAAAGAATATTATCTATTGAAGAGATTCTTTAATATAAGTCAGTGTTAAATCTAATAAAGAAGTACTCCTCTTATGGAAAGCTTCAAGTATATAACAAACACTTTCTTTTTTTTTTTTAAAAGATGACCGGTAAGGGGATCTTAACCCTTGATTTGGTGTTGTCAGCACCACGCTCAGCCAGTGAGTGAACCGGCCATCCCTATGTGGGATCCGAACCCGGGGCCTTGGTGTTATCAGCACCGCACTCTCCCGAGTGAGCCACAGGCCGGCCCATAACAAACACTTTCTAAATTATCAGTTTGGTGTTTTCTAAAAATAGAACACACCTATATTTCATTACCTCAATGAGATTATTTAATAAAACCAAAACTACAAAAAGTCAACTGCAATACTTTAAGCTTTTTATATCATTTAAACTTTTATGTTATGCATACCATGAAAGAGGCACTATTTCTGACTCTAGTCTGCCTATCAAGCTTTTAGATAAATAATGCAGGAGGAGTTCCAAGGAGATTCTATACCAAAGTACCCACACTAAGTTATTATCAGGAGTTATTTGAAAAGATAGTTCCTTTTTAAGGAAAGGGGATAAACTTGTTAAAAGGAGGTACACTTGTTAAAAGTCTTCATCAACAGCTGACTTGATCAACAATTTATTATTCCAGCAACATATTAAAAGCCTGACTTGCTCCAAAGCAAAGTAAGTTCAGAGGTGTTCTCAGTGTTCTAAGACATCTCCTACTTTGTCTTTTGTGATTGACCCCTAGAGGAAAAATTCAAAGCAGCAAAGAAATTCATAAAGTCGGTTAATGAGATCAAGAAACTAGACAAAAAAGATGGCAAAATCAAAAAAGATTTTATAACATGCAGAACAGACAGAAGAAATTACCTTTGCCCATCATCTATCCATACCCCTCAAAGATAAGAATCACACAGATTAGAGATTATTAAATAAGCAAACGCAGGATGAAACAAAAAAAAATTATAAAACACAGGTCTCCCAAGTCTCCAATGCAGATCCTGTGGTTAAAACACACTGAAGCCAACTATTTCATGGTGAAAAAGGCCAGTTAGAAACCTATTAATTAATTAAGTAAAAGTTAAAGGAGTTACATTGTGAAAAATGTAAAGAACTACCGGCAGTCCCCCTGCTTTCACAAACAATTATGCCAAATAGAGAAAAGAGTTTAACTTGAAAATAAATTATATTAAATGTTCAAAGGCTAACATTTGATTAGGGAGAAGAGTGGTAGGGGAAGCTCCGTGCCAACTTTTAACCACAGCTGCAATGGAACACACTAAAACCCTTGTTTTAAGACAAAGGCAGTGAAATAAAAAACAAAGGTTTTAAACTTAACTCTACTGTTAACAGCTCATGACCATAAATTTGTCTTTTTCCAACAAAGGACTAATGGGATAAAAGGCCAAACAATAAGGGGAAAAGTAGAAGAAAATGCAAAATTGAACAAACTTCTCAAACAAAACTAAAATGTAAAACCAATTTAAGAATTTTCATATATTTTTATATGTCAGAATTAGAGGTAAAAACACTCAAAGATTCCTCTCCTTTCCATTTGGGCTTAAAAGAAAAAAAACACTCAAAGATTAAGAAACTCAACACAAACAACAAAATAGGAGATCAAGCCATTCTTGTTAAACAGGAATGCAATTAAAAGTATTTTTTATTTTTTATTTTTTTTTTAAAAGATGACCGGTAAGGGGATCTTAACCCTTGACTTGGTGTTGTCAGCACCACGCTCAGCCAGTGAGCGAACCGGCCATCCCTGTGTGGGATCCGAACCCGGGGCCTTGGTGTTATCAGCACCGCACTCTACCGAGTGAGCCACGGGCCGGCCCAATTAAAAGTATTTAATTTAAATCAGTATATACTACAGGAAATCCTTACATATTACCTGTTCCAAACTGAGAGGGTTCTCCACAGTCCTTTCCCAGTTACTTAGGCAAAAATATTACAATTTTTTTTTCTTTCACACAGTTTTGTTTTGTTTGGCTTAACAAACTGCACTGGAGTGAGATTATTCTAACTACTACCCATTTACCTTCACTATGAGTTGTCCCAAACAATGATACTTTTTGGAAATCAAACTTTATTCCAATAAAGTTAGCCAGCAGATTTTTTTTTTTTTTTTTTTTTTTAAAGATGACCGGTAAGGGGATCTTAACCCTTGACTTGGTGTTGTCAGCACCACGCTCACCAGTGAGCTAACCGGCCATCCCTATATGGGATCCGAACCCGTGGCCTTGGTGTTCTCAGCACCACACTCTCCCGAGTGAGCCACGGGCCGGCTCCTAGCCAGCAGATTTTGCTAGAAATGTTATCACATAAATTCCATTTCGTGCAACTAATTTTTCCAGCATCTATAAATTAAAATTTACATTTGACAATAGAGAATGTGTCTCAACATGGACACAGCAATACCTTTTCCAACTTGTTACTAATAACTTGTACGTTTACATAATTTTAAATACCTGCATCTGAAAAGTATAGTATACGCTGACCACAAAAGATGAAACAGTTGGTATCTTACACGATATTCTAAAAATGTGCTTTTAGTAGGTATGCAATGATTGTCACAGGTGTGAATATTAAACATTCCCACATCAGTCCAAGTTTCTAAAAAGCTGACCCAATTTCAAGCCTGAAACTGAGGCTTCTAGCTTTAGAAGGGTAGAAAACAAGAGTTAAGTAATTGAGTAGTCCTAAAAATACACATCACAACTACATGACTAAGATACTCATTTAAAACTTGTGCCAAGATAACCCCTCCCTTCAAAACAAACTAAAATTGACTCACTGGCCTATTTTACTTAATTTTAGAAACTGAAAAAAAAATTAAATTAAATGGATTTCTAAGTACTCATTTCCTCTGTCTCTACCTCCACTATTTAAAACATTCAAATCTTCAATCTGTGATTCCACCCTGCAAAACGCTAAAAAACAAAACAAAAATTCAGCATCTCCAAGGTACTTTTTTTTGTAATCTTGGAGTTAGAAAAAAAAAAAAATCACTGGGTTCCCGAATGATAATAACCTATTTTCTAAAATCACGTGAAACAATAGACACAATGTCTATGGTCGCTAAGGAGCCATCCCACCCAGAGAAACCATCTCACTTCAGGTAATACTTTTCATTTGCGAGACGACCCCTCTTGCTAAAGTTAACCACCTGAAGGCAAAAGGTTTCAATTTTGTCTCCTCAAAGTGAGAAACTACCAATCTCCCCAGATTACATGGTCCACCCTCTGTGAATATCTACATGCAGGGGGGAAAAAAAAAAAGGCTAATAAAGTTGGTAGCAGGGTGAGGACAAAGGGCATTTTGAAAGAACTACGGACTGAGGTAAATGGAGAATGAGGACAGAGAGAGGGCTAAATTAAAGTTCCCCCAAGTGGATAATGGCAAGAAAACGCAGGCACCCCCCCCCCTTTTTTTTTTACCATCCCTAGGGTCCTGTTCTTCATTACCGCCCACTGGAATGCAGAGTTGGAACTACCACTACCCTAGAAGCCCAACAAATCCTCAAAATGTTAGGGCACTAGGCAGCTTCTGGAATGACACGCTAGTAGCCCTCCCCCACCTCCACCCCCCAAAAAAGAAAAGTCCAATTCAATAAGTGCAGGTCACTCTGCCCTCTGGGGCAGTTCCAGCCCACGTACAGGGGGTTCGGATGGGAGAAGAAAGGAAAGACAGACCACCTCTCTTTCCATACACCCTCAGCTGAGGAAACAAAACAAAGACAGCCCTCCTTCTCCGGTAGCCACAACCCGAGCCAGAGAGGCTTTCCCATTTCCCGGTGCAGTCTGGGCTCCCGCCCCCGCCCCCATGACAAAGAAAAGGCACTTGGTGAGCAAGGCCTTCCTGCCTCCACGGATGGGGGAGGGGGCTGCCGAGGTGAGAAGCCCCCTCCACTCAGCCGCGCTCACACTGCTGGCCGCGAAAACAGCCGAAAGCGCCGAGGAGCCGAGGCCTCCGCCGGGGAAGCTAGGTCCGGGAGGGGGTGGGAGTACCTTGAAGTAGCCGCCTTCGTAGAGGGTGTTGGGGGGTCCGAAGATGGCCACCTCCCAGTTGTAGAGGTCGGACTCATCCACCAGGGTGATCCGGAAGCCCTCCACCGGTTCCTCCTGCAGGGATTTCAGCTCCAGCATCAAGGCCTTCTGCGAGCTGGTCATCTGCTGCTGGGCCATCACGGCGGCGGCGCCGGGCTGGGGCCCCAGTCCTCACGCACCGGCTGGGCCGGACCAGGCCCCTCCCCTCCTCTCGCCCGCGGGCCGGGCCGCACCGGGCCCCTGTCTTCACACACCCGGTGGGCCGGACCAGGCCTCAGACGGCCCG